GACATGCCTTTTGTGGAGGGTCCATGTATGGGTAAAAGGTGGAGGTTTGGAGAAGTCAGTGTGTGAATGCTCGAAAGCATACATCAGAAACACAATACCTATGCTGGTTAGTGGATGTGTTTTCATCCACTCTTTTTATAACTAGATGATTATAGAAAATGTAGTGGGATGAGGATGAGTCCCTCTCCTGTAGCAGAGATTTCCTTGCTGGAGTGTTCAAGAAACATAACCAGTGGCATTCTAATAGAATGGAGCAGCATGCATTGTATGGTGACTCACAGCAGCCACTGGGAGATCAATGTTGTTGCTTTTGCATATTGGTGCACCTGTGTAGATAAAATATCCCATAGTTTTGCAGGAGATATATTCATTTTGCTTAATAAATTTTGCTCAATAACATGGACAGCATAGTTACATACTTACATAGTTAGTCTGACTGAAAAAAGACAAAAGTCCATCCAGTTCAACCATTAAAAAAAAAAAAAAGTTATAATCCTATACCCACAGTTGATCCAGAGGAAGGCAAAAAAAACCCAGCAAAGCATGATCCAATTTGCTTCTGCAGGGAAAAAAATTCCTTCCTGATCCCCCGAGAGGCAATCGGATATTCCCTGGATCAACTTTACCTATAAATGTTAGTATCCAGTTATATTCTGTGTATCTAAGAAAGAATCCAGGCATGCATAACTGTTTTGATTGTATTCTAGTAGTAGTAGAGTACTTTAAGGTGGCTCTCAGCAATGACGTTTTATATATGGTGACTGTATGGCTCAACATATGCCTAAAGAAAGCTTAAATTGAGCCTGTACGTCTCCCTTGCAGAGCAAAGCAATATGTTCACTTAGTTCACCTTTACCAAATAAACTACCTATGCAGATAAGTGACATTTGTAGATAAAAACAAGCTGTACAGCTTTGACCAAAGTTGAATAATGCAATTGCTATAGTTGTAGGCCATATATGTACCTCATGAAACCTAACTGGAAAACTCCTATGATGTGACTAAGGACATTGATAAGAGACTAGCTGTTACTGTTCACCTTCTCCATTACCCGTGCAAGCTCTTTCTCTGATTCAAACCCCTCATATGTGCTTTCTCTCCCCTGATACAGTAGTTCTGAACTCAGAGTTTTAGAGATCATTGCTGACAGCTGGGCATCTATTAGCAATGTCCTTAGCAACGTCTTGAGAGTTTTCCAGTCAGGGTTCATGAGGTACATACGTTCGTGGCCTACACCTCTAGCATGTGCATTATTCAACTTTGGTCAAAGCTGCCCAGTTTGTTTTTATCTACAGTTTCTTACCTGCATAGGCAGTTTTTGGTAAAGGTGAACTAACCCTTTAAAGCCCAACTCCAATTCATTTTGGATAGAGCAGGGATAGATTAAATCTTCTTTGGTGTCTTAACTGCTCTCTCTTTTCCGATTGGGGGAGTTCTCATAACTTGCTGTAAAGAAAGGAAGCAAGGAGAAATCTTTCCAATTGGGATGCAGACAAATGGAAAAACACATAATTTGCAGAATGAGTAAGACCCAGTCACACTGGGTGCGATTTGCATGCCATATGACTTGCAAATTGCATGGCAAGTCGCACCCTATTGTCCACAATTACAGCGGTCATATCAGTGCGGTTCCTACTTGGTCGGAGCCACACCGATTTCTTAAGTAGTGCATGCACTACTTTTGGTGAAACTTACATAGACATCAGATGTCTTGCACATCCTACCTCAAATCGGCATGTCATCCGACTTTGAAATCGTGCGACTTCACTGTAAGTCACACAATTGCAAAATAGGGATCGGTGTGACATGGGTGTTAGGTTTAGACTTGCTGCCAATGTTTTATTGCTGACCTTGTTTTCCTCTCCTGGTGACAGCCTCCACTTTCTATATCTTGTATAGGCTTCACAAGGACAGGAACTAAGGTGAAATCTCCTCAAAGGGGACACAGATAGCGATAAAAAAGCACAAATGAAATGTTACTCTCCCAATCCACAGATATAAATTTCCCCCCTCCCCGGCTGTTTATACTCACCTTCCAAACACTCCCCCCCAGCCACCTCATTAGGCAGCCGGGAGTAAAAGGAAATACTGGATATTTCTAGTGAATCTGGGTCAGGGATTTTCTCTGATTTAGCATTCTTCTGTGTTGATATAACTAGACCTTCTTTAGATATGCTAATGCAATTTATTTTGTCCTTTTTATTCATCAGAGTCAAATGCATTCATTTTATTTTTGTTTTCTATTAATTTCCTTAGAACGGTATTTTTGCAGGCTTAAGGTGGTATTAAACCCAAAAGCAAACATTTATCATATTGCAGCTTAACAATTCTTAGATGTGGTGGTTACATTTTGTTTTCTTTTTTAGACTTTATTTCCTTTATTTTCACCTGGTGATCTGGCCAAAATGTTTGATTTTCAACAGAAAAAGCTCTCTTGCAGATGTAGCAGTTAGAGTGAAGAGACAAACCATTTGCCACTGACAGGTGTGCTTGCAATGTATAACTTTTATTTATGTAAAACCATTATCCCAAAAGGGTTAAAAACTGTTTCTGTGACTGCCTATAATGTACAGCACTGAGCAAACTGTTGGCACTATATAAATACTGTATATTAATAATAAAGTGTGAGCTGGATTTGGCTTTAATTTGTTAGTGTATCTAAATCTGCTAGTCCATCTAACACTCTCCTCCTCCCAGATTAACAATGCTGCTGTCAAAAGGTGTCCCTGTGCAACTTCATCCAGAGTGGAGGCACTCTAATACAGGAGGTGTGTTACTGGACAGATCATAAGATGAAAATAAAGGACAGAAAGTCCAAAAAAAGAAAATGAATGCAGCCACCAAATTTAAGGATTGGTTGGTAAGCTTTACTATACATTTTTTGGTTCTAAGTTTAATAACCCACTAAAATTGACTGATATTTTCTGAACCTAAAGAAACACCAGTTCTGATCAGTATATGTGATTTCCTTATTTTAAACACAGTTTAGGTGACGTTTTAATTCTAGTTTTTATTTGACATTTTATCATGGAGATTGGTGCTATCAAAAGCAACATTTTAACAAGTTAGAAACCCCCGTCAAGTTTAAGGCAATTTATGTTTTTAATACAGCTCATGTTTTACTATACTTCATAGGTTTTTAAATATAAGTTGATATGTGTATTCCCAACACTGGGAACACTATGTATATTTCTTGCTTCAAGGTTTTAATTCTCTTGTAGTCTAGATCCTTACTGCATTGTCCCTGTGCAAGTAAGGAAATCTGCAGCATCAGCCTCTACTCCACTTTTATTAAAGTGCAGCATCAGTGTGACCTTGCAGCAACACTGAATCAGTCAGATCTGTTCAAGCAAGAGCACAGTCCTGCTAAGGACTGCAAGATCAGCAAATTATCAACATATTACATATTTATAATTCTGGGGCAGTGCTTAGCCATGTTTATTGTAGTTGCAATAACTTGTTTTTTTTACTAGAATTACAAACTTTATTTGATTTCCAAAGCTGGCACATTAACATTTTTAGTAAATGGATTAATCAGCGTTAGCTCAATGTAGTTTGTCTCTTGTGTATTATATTGATTGAAGAAGACCATTTTGGATAGTGTAGTATACTTTTTATAATAAGAAAACTTTGTCTTCTCTTATGCAGGATCCCGGCCCGTCTCCAGTTCTCCCCCCTTCCACGTACTCCGTCCCAATACTTGGTGCACTGCGGGTTTATTCTGGATGTCTTTTTTTTTTTTTTTTTTGCTGCAAATTGCAGATTGGTTATCTGGCACAAAAGGGGTTAAGAGCCCTCTAGTGGAGCCTCATTATATTGATGTTGCTCCTGCATGCTCCCGAATTGGAAGGATAACTGTAACAGATACTCCATTATTAAAAAATCAATATCAACTCTCTGATGAGTCAAGTTAAAAGGGGAGGAAACTGCATTACGGTAGAAGGTGGGGCAGATGGTCATGTATGCAGCATGGGGCCCATTTCAGTTAGTGTCATTAAACTCATTTACGTTAAACAAGGAAGGTTGGCTGTAATGGCATTTCATATTATAATCATCACTGAGTTTCATATTGCACACTTCTAAATCATTTTACAGATTTATATAGGCCACTTTGTTTAGGCTGTGTAATCTGGCCATTGAAATGGTGATCTTTGTGGGTGTGTTGCGTTTTGCACATGCCCATATGCATGCACACCTACATAATGCCACATATGTACATACATACAAAGACACACGCAATGGCCACATGTGTTTGACAGCAGAATGTACTTGTGATTGCTGAATTTTAAAAACAGAGGTGACCTTCTGTTGCAGCATGGAGAATAGTGTGCAGTCTGATTTGGATCTAATGCATGGGGTACACCGTGAGTCATGTATGATTGATGTCTTCATTGAGTACACATAGTAATTGCTGATATGATTTATTATACTAATTCCATCAATCTGTGTATAGTGGTGTCAGCTATGGAAATGTCCTGGTGAACTGAGAAGAATTGTGTTTTGCCTCTGCCTGTCCGTATATTCCTCCTCCCCCCTCCCCAAAAAAATCCCAAATTCCCTTTGTCACTGCCTCCCTTAACTGTCATCATGTATTTATCCATTGCCGAGCCACTCCTACATCCCCATCAGTTTTTGCAGGAAATAAACCATAGGTATTGATATTTCTGAAACTACCTAAGATCTATATTAAAATACAGCTTCAACTCCCTTCCAGAAAATATTAAAGTAGTCCAACGAATTGTAGGTGTGAACATCATAAATATATGCTGGTAATTACATCTTTTTTTGTAATCCTCCTAATTAACTGCATGCTGTATTGTGAATTAGCATAAATGTTTGATTTTTAAACCCATGTCAAAATAACTACGTGACACAGCTTGCAGTATAGTATATTACCCGTCCTGGCAGGTAAAGGGTTAACTGAAAAGTGTCTAGAGGGTGGAAGTGCATTGCGGCAGATGTACATCCAGCTGTGCATGCAGAACTACCATAAAACTTACCCAGGAGGCTGAGTGCCAGTGTTACCAAACTTAACCCAGGGGGTGCTGGGCGCTCTCTCCTGCCCATGGCCTGGGAGGGGTGAGGGGGGTCTCCGATTTCTGTCCTGGAATATGTCTATTTATATTATGTGATTTTGCCTCGATGGTGCAGCTCTGACAGCACAGTAAAGTCAATATGGCCGTATCTCTGGCTACAGCAGAGATGCAGGAGGGTTGGGGGTGGTGGGTGGTGGGAACACTTGATTTTATGGTTGGTAGATTTCCTGGAATGATGCAGGAGGGCAAAAAATATTTTTGATTTCTTAAATCCTTATAACTATGCTTTGATCATGATTTTCTTCTAGTCTAAATTAAAGTATAAAATATTTATAATGTATTTTAGAAAAAAAATACCTAAAAGAATAGAAATACAAATTGTATACTGAATGTGATTATCAGCCCGTAGGTGTTGCAAGATTTTTTTTATCTCCCATCAGTGTAGAAGTTTCCATCAGTGCAGAAGTTATACTATCCAGTATTATAAAAGTAAATCGATGAAATTGAAAAATGACCATGAATGCCAGGTAAGAGTGTAATAGAAATAAAAAGAAGTGCCCTGTTTTTGTTTAATAAAGACAGATGTAGCGATCCCTTGGATGAATGAAGTATTATTCTTTATGAATGCTTTATAAAAACAAATGTACAGCAGTACTAATTCCCCTCTAAAAATAGAGTGTACATTTATCTGTTATAGGTATATGAAATATTCAGTTTGCAAAGATAAACTGCAGACATATCAATATTTTGCAAATGAGATGCACTTAAGGAAATCTCAGACCATGCTTGATTCCCTTATGGGACAATATATTCCTTTATAGTAGTTGCAGTCTTCATTTAGCAAATAGAGAATTGCAGAGCAGCATTCAGGGATGTAAATAAAATGACCCAGGCCTGCATTCATGGCACAGTTTATCAGCATAAATTATACCCATATGTGTGTAGATGTGCATAAATGAGCATAATCACTTGCATATGAGCATAACCTTATTCCAATGGCCAGAATAAATATATATTCTGGCCAGTAGAATGCGTTTCCGTGTGTACATATGCAAAATTAGAGGCATATTTTTCTGCCAAGTTTTGGATAAATTCATATGCCCATGTGCATGAGACCTAAGAGCACATCCATACCTGTGCGATGTGACACGTCACTGTTTTTTTCCAAGTTTTTTAGAGTGCTTGTTGCACAACAGCATAGGGCTCACTTAAATGGGCTTCCCTACGCACAATAAATGTGCCAAGGTAGCTCATGCACCTTTTTATGGCACTGAGACAAGCGCTTTTTGCTTTTCACATTTTGCCGCATTTTCTTGTTTGTCAAATGTGCAACAAAATGTAGGGCTGCTATGTGCGTTTGGGGTGTCATTAAGAAATAGTTGCAGTGCGAGTAGGATACGCATTTTGCTGCGTTTGTGTGTGTTTCCAGAATCCCAGGCAGAAATGCATGTTTCTGCCAACGATACCAGAAATGCGCAAAAACACAGAATGCTTAGGTTTGAATGCAACTTAAAAATTATAGTTCTTTAAAAGTGCAGGACAATTTAGGACATTGGTGGTTCCAGGGCAAATGTCCCAGAGGTGGTGCCTCCATCCCAAGCATCAATCCATATCAATGCAAAAACGGGACTAGTTTAATTAACCCCTTCACGCCTAAGGGTAAAACAAATGTTAATGCCTAAGCACAATTATTCAACTTTGATGTGTTAATAAAAATTGTAAATGTCACCACAACTACTTTGTGCATCCAGGTGGATTATACCTTTTTTAATGTAGCTGTATATTTCTTATTAGTACCATAACCTACCATAAAAAATCAACCCAAAATATATTCTCCTGCTCCCAATGATCACAGTGATACCACATATGCGTATGTTAGTTGTATGTACCTGTAGTACGGCCCAGAAACAATAGTGCCCTTTTTGTTTTTTTCTATCTATCCTTTCTAAAACACACTGAGGGCTTGTTCAGACCATGGTGCAGAGGCATCAGTTTTTCTACAACCATTTTGCAAAGGCACAACAAAATCAGTTGTTCTCTATGTGCCCTGTTCACACCATAACACGTGCAGAACAAGGCCTAACTGACATTGATACTCATTTTTTTTTTTTTTCTTAAATCCTGCTCAAAATATACTGACCATGACCTTTGACCCTGACCTTAACCTTTGACAGTACTTGGCCCAGACACTAGATCTAACCTTGATTTGTTTTCTTTTTTTTTTTTTTTTTCTTTTTTTATTGTTATTTCTTTTTTTTTTTTTAACACGCTGTTGTTTATATTTCTCTCTGCAAAGAAAGAGAAATACAATGTATCTTTGCGCTCCATTCACAGAGAGATAAATACAGGGGCAGGCTTCACAGTTATTCATCACTGTGGTAGCCTATCAGAGGCTATCACAGTAATCAGGGGACCCAGAACCGTGAGTTCTGGGTCCTGATCGTTAGTATGGGACCTGAGCTCCCGATGAGACCCCGATCTCTGTGCTGGGAGCATGCTGTACAGTGTGCTCCCAGCACAAAGTATCATACAACACCATGGAAAAAAGCCCAGACCAGTGGGCCCTGGCAGCCACATGGTGGCCCACAACAGGCTTTTCTCCAACATGGCATCGCAAACAGATCCAGAGGAGTCGACCGCTTCCCCACAACCCACACTGGCTGACGTTATTGCTGAGATCACCACCTGTCAAGCAGCCTTGACCTCCAAGGTTGCAGCTGGATATGGGGCTCCTGAGACAGGACATCGATAAGCTCCCTTCCAGACTGTTGGTGGCAGAACAAATAGTCTTAGAACATACTACAGCCATCTGCTATCTTCAGACCAAGCTTCTGGCACTAGAATACAAGGTGGAAGATGCGGAGAACCGCAATAGGAGGAAAAACCTCTAGATCATGGGTCTGGTGGAGGGCACAGAGGTCAATAACCTGACAGTCTTAGTGGTGGACTTGCTACATACCCTACTCCCTGTGGCCCAGTTCTCTTCCTATTACACTGTGGAGTGAGTGCACCGTATTCCGCCTAAACCTGAGCCTCCTGGATCCTCACCTCTGAACTTACTGAACTTCTGAGACTGAGACAGAGTTCTCTGCACTGCCAGGCTCCAGGGAGATCTGAAGTTCCATAACAGCAAGCTACCTATTTTCCCTAACTATTTAGTGGAGACACAAAAGCTCAGAAAGTCTTTCAACCATGTGAAAACAGCTCTGAGGGCTTGTGGTATCTACTACAGTGTTCTGTTCCCTGCTTGCCTGCGGGTCCGGGATGGTGAGATGGTCCGGTTCTTCACTTCTTCACAGGAGGCTTCCACCTGGGTTGAGTCACTTCCACCTCATTGTTGACCGGTGGTAGTGAGTTGCCTTATCCAGTCCACAACACTGCTGTTTTTACCTGGGCTTTTACCCACTACATGGAGGAGGATATATCGCTGTTATGTTCCTCTGCCTGATGTGCTGGGACCCTTTGCACTGGCTGTGCACTGTTTTTCTAATGAATAAGCAACCTAAGTTTGTGCCTGTGATGGAGGGTAGGCAGGACAGAACACACAAGGCAAACACACAAAGCTTTATTAAGACAAATGACAGTCACTCAAAGGGGAAATTGCAGGGAGTGGGGCAGTGCCCAGTATGGGAAATAGCAAGGGGAGTGCCCAAAATACTTGTAGTCCAGCCCCAGGGGCAAAGTTAAAGTCTCTACAACAGTTTGTATTCCAAACAGGAGGTGGAGAGGGAGTACAAGAACAGTTCAGGGAAAACGGGAGCATACACTCACGGATCCGACAGGGGCGCCCGGGTCCACAGGGGAGCAAGATAGTATGACAACAAGTACTTGCCCTGAATCCAGATTATGCGTGGCGTAGTCTGTGGTAATATTCGCCCCGAGTCCTGGGCGCCTGCAGAGGGCAGCTGGTGTGGTTCTCCCCCTATCCTTGGGGCTTGCAGTGGGCTGCTTGCGTGGTTCTCCCCCTTAGCTTTGGGGTTGTGCAGAGCGGCAGCTTGTGGAGGCTCCCCCGTATCCTTGGGTGGTCTTTGGCAGAGTGGCAGCTTGCGGAGGCTCCCCCTTATCCTTGGGTCTTTGCAGAGTGGCAGCTTGCTGAGGCTCCCCCTTATCCTTGGGGGGCCTTTGCAGAGTGGCCACTTGTGGAGGCTCCCCCTTATCCTTGGGGGGTCTTTGCAGAGTGGCAGCTTGCTGAGGCTCCCCCTTATCCTTTGGGGGTCTTTGCAAAGTGGCCACGAGGGTCCCGCCGCAGCTGGGATCCCTCAGTGGCTTGGCAGCGGAAAGGATGACCGGGAAGAGCCCGGCATCGGGCTCTTAAACCGATGCAGGGCGCTTCCCGGTCGTCCTGGCAATGGTGGGCGGGCCGAGGGCGGCATGCCTCATTGCTCGGCATTGAGGCACGCCCCCCTGGATAAGGGTCGCGCTTTCGTGAGCATGGCCTTTGTCCGCAAGTGTGGGAACTCCCGTGCCCGCGCTGCGGATGCCGGGACCGTGCAGCATCAGTGTGACGCCGCGGTCCGGAACACTTCTGCAGGAGGTTTGCACCTCTCTGCAGAGAGGTGTGAACCTCGCTATCTTTTCTTCTCTGGCCTCGCCGGATGAGGAGAAGATAGTGGTGGAGGTGAGAGGAGCCGCGTCTCTTGTCCTGCCGCAGCAGGACAAGAGGCAGCAGGGGGGGGGGGCAGGTCATCCTGACAGCCTGACAGGTGGAAAACGGCTGGGAGCTGGCTTACTAATCAGATCACAATGTGCTAAATGAATTTGGGGGGAAACTGGCTAATGAAATCGGGACTGGAATGCACTTTATTTGAGGTGCTGCAATGTACTATTTTCGGGAGGAGGGCATGACTGAGTTGGGCACCCTGGCAGCACCTATACTGTGACACTTGGGCACCCTGGCAGCACCTATACTGTGACACTCCTCCCCCTTCCATTTCACAAGTGCCGACAAGGGGGGACCCAGCCGGGTTCCCTTGAAGGCACTTGTGGGCCCTAACTTAGCTACTGTGGGTCTTGTTGGCGGGAAAGGTGTCA